TCGGAAGGATGTCGCGGCGGCGGAGGCCGCTGCCGACGTTGCTGAAGACGCGCGCAAAAAGTTGCGGCGTCGGGGGATGCCGCGCAGGCGACAGACACAGCCTCTACAGCCCGCCATCCTCCAGCTTCGCGAAATCGAAGGAGTACTCCGAGTAGCCGCGAGGGGCGCGAGTGGCGGGCTGCCCGCGACCCCCCACCGCGGGGCCCCCGCGCGCCGAGAAAGCGATCGCTCGCAAGCGCCGCCTGGAGGAGGAACTGGCTGTTAAGGACGAGGCCGGGCGGCGGGCTCTCGGCATGTCCATTTGGAATTATTGGGTCCACCGCGTTTGGAGGGCGCTGCGGTTCCTCGAAAGAATCGTCGATGCGCGCGAGATCGGCGATCCGCCGCCGCCAGACGAACGGCATCTTGACTCCGTCTGAGCCAACAGAGCAAATGTCTACATGGGAAGTCGCGGGCAAATCAGCACCAGCCTAGTGACGCTCTTGCCATCGACGAACTTGTAGATCCCACGTGGACCCAGTTTGGTTGAGGACGAACAGCGGGGACTGCCTGCAGACGTCAACGTGGATCTATAATTGCCCGGACCAGGAGTCATTTGCGCTGGCGAAGGCCAATGCCGCGGCGTTGGCGACAGCTGATGCTTTTGCGTTGGCGAGAGCTGGTGCTAACCACCCTGGTGTCCAGATCACCATCGCTCGTCGCCAGGGTGCTAGGCCACCATGTGTCGTGACTGAGGCGCGCTACGAGGTGCCGTATCAGGCGGCGGAGGTATCGCACCTCCCATTCGGAGAACAGCTGCGTTATCCAATTCCACGTCTTTCCTCAGGCCCGGCGTCATCGGGCATACTACATGGTAAGCTAAGGAGCTGAGAGCCAACGCAAACCCCATCAACGAGCTCCCCGCGTCGGAACGGGCGCCCAACATAACCGTCTCGCACATCCGCTTAAGCCCGGCGCGTTAATTGCGCGATATGGCGCGGGGCATCGCGAGGTTTAGAATTCGTCGGGTCATTGTTGACGTTGACTTTTCGGCGTCACGCATGGCATCCAACGCTGCTCTCGAGGGCCTCCTTGAGGCTGCCGCGAGGGCCCGCGCGGCATCTCCTTCAGCGGCGGAAGACATGATTGTGGCCATCGTTTGGTGCAACAGCGATGTGTCTTCTTCGACTCATCGGAGCCAGTGTGTGTCCGAGAGGAGAACGGAAGGCCACAAGCTGGGCATGGCGGAGCGGGTGGCGAGCGGGGTCTTAAATCGGGTCCCTGGCTACCTTGCCGCAGCCATCGGCTAGTAGGCAGACTCCGGCTGATTTCCGAAGAGCTGATGGTACTCGGTCCTGACCGCGGCTCCACCTGGTGCATTCGGTCGGGGTCGTTCGACGCAGCCGCGCTAAATGCGCAGGGTCTTCTGTGCGAGTCCCAGGTGCGAACTTTGAACGCGTCTCGGCGTGGGCAGATCGCGAAGGCGCAGGGGGGTGCTTGGCACTTTCAGGCTGGGCCGCAGATCGAGCGCCAAATGGCTTTCATCGCGCGTCTGGATATTTTGATGGTGGCCGAAACGGCCGTGCCCAGCGCCGCCCAGGCCATTGCCGAGTTCCGTTCTTTGGCCACCATCATCCGCGCCGCCGCAGTTGCCAATGCACGCGGACGTGGTGAAGGAGAGAATCACATGGCATTTACAGCGGCTAAACTCGTGTTTGGGTGCGACGACTCGTTTTGTCTCAGCAGCTGCGCGAGGCAGACGCATGATCACTCAGTTTTATTGCGTGCAGGGAGCTCTTCTTTCGACGGCGCCGCGAGTCGGGCGTAACTTGGGCCGAGGGCTCCGAGAGGGGTGGTTCCGATGTCCTCCTGCCGCAACTGATGCGCAAGCGAATCCGGCGAAGGGGAATTTCCAGGTGCGCCTCCAAGAGGTGGCGTTGTCTCCTGCTTCTGCGATGGCGGAAGTCAAGCAGGGGGCGGGCAGCGCCATTGCGTCGGCTGAATATGATGCTCCCCGTGCGTCGGAGAAGGCCGATGCTCCTGTTGCGGCGGCGAAAGCTGCCGCCGCGCAGGTTGCGCGCCCGGAGTCCGCCCCCGAGGCAGCGCCGACGCCCGTGCCGCCACCGGTTAATGCAGGGCCCCTTAATCCAAGAAAAAGCAACGCACCGCGACTAATGCTCGGGGGCGCGCGGCGGCGAAGGCTGTCGCTGGCTTAGACGCCCCCGCCGCGTGAACCTTGGCCGCGCGCGCCGCGAGGGATTGCAGCCGCGCAGCTGCCGCCGCAGCCAGCGCAGGCGCGACGCCCTAAGGTCGAAAGGCCCGGCGCACAGCGAACCGTGTTCAAGGGCCAGGGGTGCCGCGCCAGAGCTAGCCGAGGTTTTATACCCGACGGCTCAGTGGCATTCAGCATGTGACCGGTTGGCCCTTCTAGCCGCGGAGGTATATGCCTCTTGCTCACTTGGTGGGCGCGCCGCGCGTGCAAGTGCCAGGGGCGCGCAGGCTTGGCAGTTTATGCCTGGGGCATTGTCGCCGAGGTGCGCAAGTATTAAGCTAGTGACTGGACCGTGTGGCAGCGGGAGATTCACTATTCGAAAGAGCTGCCTGGTGACCTAAAAAGCCCCACCTATGAACACTTTTGTTGAATGGACCCCGTGGGTCGTGGATCATTGGAGTCAATAATTTCATAACGTCTTCCATTATGGCTCGCTTTCAGGTGCTTTTATACGACGCGAGTATTCCCGTGCCAGAGCCTCGGCGACCTTGGCGACGATAGTCGAGTGGAGAGTGCACGACCTACTCGGGTCTTTGCGGCGAGAGCCTGTCGACCCTGTCTACGCGTCAGAGGCCACTTGCATCGCATCTCGATGCGCGGGCAAACGTGTGGGACATGCACTAGACGAGCTCATTACCAGCCAAGGGCTGGAAGCGCGCCGATATCCAAAGTGCGCCCCGCGTTTGGCGTGGGCGCAGAAGGAATGCGTTAACCTATCTACAGAGGGCCCTTATTATTGGTGGTGCGACTAGGACGCGGCAGATGCTTTCCTTCTCAGGGAACCTGCCGCATGGCCTTAACGGTCCACACGAATTTGTACAGTTCTCATCATATGCGCGGTCGTCACCGATATGGATCTGCGTTGACGTCCACATGGCAAGCTTGTTAGGTCATAACTTCTGGATTAGACGCCGGGGATCCGTCGTGATGGCGAAGTCCACTCCATCACCGTGCGTCCTGTATGCGACCAGAAGTTGCGAATCTTTCCGCCCCGATATGGCTGCTCCGCATGCAAGGGCCCCTGTGCACGCAAGGTCCAGGCTAAACCGATGTCAGCTCCACCGGCATGCTCCAATGTTGCGCGGACGAAGGCTGGTGGCCCTTCCTCGGCATCATTGGATGACGGCGCGCCCGAGCCTGCATTTGCGTCGGCGGAGGCCGGCGCGCAGGTTTCGCTGGCTTTTGCGAAAGCCCATGCCGCCAAGGTAACACCGCCAACTCCTGCTGGGGAAGACGCCGATTTTGATACTGCGGACCGCCGCGATACCGGTCGGGCTCCTGACTTCGAGGGGGCGGAGATAGATCGCGGTGGAGCCGCCAGTGGGGCTGCGCGCGAGTCGCCCACCGAACTGTCGACTGCGGTTCGGAGGATTAATTCCGCCAGATAAGGATGCAGTCGCGCGGCCTGAGGCGCCAATCTATCGAAAGTTGTATTCGGTGCCTATTTCGGCGATCGCCTCATGCGTTGAGAAACGGCCTGCTCCCGGACCCAGCCGAAGGGGTCCAGGTCGACTTGATATCGTCTGGGACTCGGGATTCAACGCGCGCTTCAATATTGCAGGCAGTGAAGACAATGTTATGGTTTCCAACCCGCATCTCAGCGATTTGTATCACGTACGAACACGGTTGCAACATGGGGAAGTCTCGGGTCCCTTTGCAGGTGTATGCACTGTATTTTGGGATCTCAGGACCTACGTAATAAGGCGGACTGGTCGATGGCCACACAACAACGGAACGTGCGTTGCCATGAGCAACTATTTCTTGTCTACGATGGTCCATGCATACCATAAAGATCTGTACGAGATGTTCGCGCTACCGTTTGTGAAGAACCGTCCAGGCGAGAGGTGGATTTCACCGCCGCCGCAGTTCCCTGATATCGGTGATGTGATTAGCTCGCCCCGCAAATCGATGCCAAACGTCCCGAGAACCAAGGCGCCGCAAAGCATAGATGCCAGTTTGCTAAGCCGGGTACGTGCGTCGAACCAACCGATCCTATTTCTGTTATCCAGCGGGCGAGTCTGGAGCAGCTACTTTTGGCTACCCAGCGAGTTGATCAAATGGCGCCAGTGCGTTGAGGAAGCGGGCGGTGCCACTCAACCCACGGTCCGGCACGTCTTCCCAACTGCCCCACTGCCAGAGGCCATTAGCACCGACATGCCGAAGAACGGTACATACAAACATACCGAGGAACGACGCATACGAGCACTCTGCGTATAAGGACGTTTTCTCTGACGACGAGAATCTTGCGTCGGCGAAGGATGCTGTTGACGCTTCGTCGGCGCATGCCGATGCTCCTGAGATCTCGCCCAAAGATGTAAATGCATTCCTAGGTGGGGGTAATGGCGCCCATCAGACACCTAACCACTGAGTGACCATTTACTAACGATTTACGAAGTGTTGTCAAACATTTGTCAACGTTAACATATTTAGTGGCCATTTAGAAATGGCCAAGAAGTCCCCGTAACAACGTACTAAGTGTTGTACCCTCCTGCAGTACTGACAACCACTTACGATCTAATGGCAACGTGCTCACTAAATCCTCTTAGTAAGTCCGCTGACCACGTCTATTACCCTCTTAGTAAGTCCGCTGAACACGTAGGAAGCGCAGTGGGCATCCGAGTAGGAACCCGCTCCCGACAGTAGAGCCTACTCCCGTGAGTAGGAGAAAGCTGCGGGGAACATCATGATTTGTTCCTAGCTCATTTCGGGCGTCCAAATCCATGATCAGCCGTTTCGGCCCAATCCTTCTGTTTAGAGCATCCTTGGGAGGTTTCGCAGATGTGCCATGGGACCAGACAGGACAACCCTTCACGCGTTTCGCGCGCCCCACAAGAATCCCCATCCACGCCGCGCAACGGCTCAGTCGGGCAGTGCTAAGGCTGTTGCGGGGCCTTTGTCGTCTCTCGGGGCCGCCCCCCGCGTTCGAGGTTCGGCTGGACGCCAGCGTCAGGCTTCGGGGCTCTGCCAGGCGCTCCTTTGCAGAGGATCACCCGCGCGCAGGAAACGCAAGTCGCCAGCATGCTGGCGTCGCACCAGCTACGGCAGAGCTAGGTTCGATAGGGTGTACTAGTGTGCGCTAGAGTCTGGTAATCGATGATCAAGCTCCGACTTAGCGTCGACTAGCGTCGACTAGTGTGGATTAGCGTCGATTTAACATCGATTATCTTAGACTGGCGTCGATTCAGCGTCGATCGCGTCGATCAGCGTCGTGTCGCAAGAGCCAACGAGCTGATATGGAAGGCTCCCATGAGTTGCCATCGAAGGCGGATGCTTGTGGCAAAGAAATGCTCCGACACTGGGCCCGCCCGCAGCGCCCGCCTGAAGCGCCCTCGTCGGCGTTCGCTTGCGGGCCCTGCCCTGCAATGTTTTGACGCGGGCTTCCTCGCCGTCGATTGCGGCGCCGGCAGGCAGGCGCTCCCGGCCGTGGGGCCGGCCGAGAGGCCGCCGGCCTCCACGGCCAATGCCGCGCTGCGCCAGTGGCTCAGAGGCTTCGCCCCGCCACGCCGCAAGCAGCCCCTCGCTGGGCGCGGCGGGGCGACGGGCACCCTCGAGCGTGACGAGCCGCGCGGGCAGCTGGCCTCTCGCGATGTCCACCCGGAGGATTCCCCTTTGCGCAGCTGGCCGATGGCGCGCCAGCCGCGGCAGCAGGTCCCCTCGTCCGCAGCAGCGCACCGCGCGATGCCGACCGGCCGGCCGCGCGAGCTATGCGGTTGCGCTGCGGCTCTAGGCCTCGCGGCCCGCCGTGGTCATGGTCTGACGATCTCTGTGGGCACCTGTTGGAGGGTGTCGAAAGCTGGCTCCGCGCGGATCACGCATTCGGCGGCGAGCAGACTTGTCAACGGTAGCAGCATTGGCATCATCAGCAGTTCGGCCTGCTCTAGCTGCGCTGGCGACTCGAGTCGCGCCGAGACCAAGACATCGCCCGCCAAGCGCGTTGGCAGGGGACATCTTCTATTGGTAGAACCGAACGGCTCGACGAGACTTCCGCGGCGCGGTGCAGGCTTTGCCAGCACTTGGCCACCGCGTGTTTGGCCTGTGGCTTTGCTGATTTAGTAGCGAGCAGTGCGAATCTACGTGATTTCCAGCAGTGCTAGCAGCTCTGTTTTCATTGACATTGCGGGGGGGCAGCGCAGGCAGGGGCACTGGGGGCTTGGCTGGACGGAAGCTGGGGGCAATTCCCAGACAGGGTCCAAGAGGGTGTCCCAGCGGTTTTAGAAATCCTCGTGAGGCGGTCGAGGGGGCATTTTGGCGCACCTGGCTTGCTGCTGGTTTCATGTTTGAGAACGCCCACTCGAAACGCATGCGTTGAGCTGGCGAGGGCGTCGCTCAAGGATTTGGCGCGGAGGCTTTTGCGGCGCATCGCGCATTCATTGCACGCTTAGCGCATTGGATGGCGCGCGCCTCCACGCCTCCCATCTGCTTGACAAGATCGAGAAGAGGGCAGAATGGTTATCGAGAACTGCTCGGTCTCTGCCCGCGGAGCGCTATGTAGTGTTTCCTGTGACTCCTCGTCGGTCCTCTTGGCCCTGCCAACGCAGATGTTTGCGTGCTTCAAGTCGTGCCTGATGGGAGCGACTGAAACGGAACTGCTCCCCACAGTCAAAACGATGAGGTAAGGGCCAGTTGCGCTCTCCTATTTCACCTCGCCCATGCTGCCCCATCTGTCCCGTATGAGTTTGTCACCGGTTGTCAATCTGTTGGTGACGTTTGGGCCCTGGGCAACGAAACTTCCACCCATGGATGGGCTAAGCATTGCCCCCTGTGGGTCCAGGTCCACCGTTTAGCGACGGACATTGGCTATCACATAACTCGAGTCACCAAAGTACGTGAGGGCGACCGTAGTGATGCGCACTATGGCGGGGATCGACAGGCAGACCGATTGGCCAAGCTAGGTGCGGATTTACATTTCCATGACACTGTGCAGCAGGATCGGATTACACGGTCTGGCACCCTTGTTAGACATCTAGGCTGTTATACCGGGCACTGCATTGCATGGTTTCTTAAGAATTTTCCCAGGCAGGTTTGGGCTGCCGATTCTGATGATGTTCAGACTCCAGCTCCCCCTTCCCTCCTATTCTCGGGATCTGCGGCTGGAGGTCTGCATGAGCATTTCTGGGGCCCTTCCGTAGGGCGGTTTAGATGTGTGAATTGTTAGGCTAGCTCGGCTTCCAGGAGCTACCTCTTGCGTTCTCAATGCTCCTCACCTACAGGGGGGGCATTGTCTTCGAAGGCTGCAGGATACTTTTTTCTGTCGCCGCTGTGGTCGTCAATATAGAAACAATGTGAAGGACCGAATTAGGACTTGCACTGGGCCCCCCTCGGGCCACTGGTCATTATCCCGCCCGAGGCTCACGTGCGATGTGCGTGGCCCACCCGCGAAGCGCCCGATCGGAGATGTTTGTGCTGTTGGTTGGGCCCGCGTCACTTATGCGTTTCCCAAATCACACGATGGTTTTTAATTACCAGGCCCTCTTCGACTCTGCATGGCTGTTACAGCCGTTGCTGCAGCCTGATGACTAATATGGGGGGTTGGCAAGTGAGGGGGCGGGATTTCTCGCGTGCTTATCTTTGCCGTGATGCGGGAAGTCTCTTGGATGCCGACACCCGTTGAAGTGTTTATCCTGTAAGACTCGCATTGTTTTTCCGTGTTTGTAATTTCCTTTGCCCAGGCTCGCCAAGCGACGAAGATGCCACCTTGCTTCTCTCATTGCTGCTGGCCGTGGGTCGTCTCTCTCGGTCAATGTCCGTCCAGCCTACAGGCTGCCTGACTGCGAGGATTTCACAAGCATTGGGGCGCAATGGGAGCAAACACCCTTACCGCTTGCGCTTGTGAAATCCTCTGCGGTGCCTGCCTGTGTTGTACTATGCCCGGGCTCGCCGAGGGAGAAGAGGCTAGGCTAGCTTCTCTCTTTTTGTTTGCGGGCTATGGGGTGATATCTTTCTGTTCCACTCTCTATTGGGCGGCATATTTTATATGTCCCTGTTCTCGAGGCCGTCTGACTGCGAGGTTCTCCGGGCATTGAGGCGCAATGGAAGCAAGCGCCCGTCCCGCTCGCGCTTGGGAAACCTCACGCAGCTCTGATGCGCTCCTTTCTCCTGCCCAGGCTCGCAAAGAGAGGGAGAGCTCTGCCGCCGCCTGGGTTTGAATTGTGTGCTGGTTGCGTTGGGGGAGGCGAGGTAAAGACCCCCGACGAGCCAGGACAGGGGCACGCTTAATTCCCCTCTAGGTTTTTCTCAGCATCACTTTGCCGCCTTTCGGGCCCTCGTTGTTTCGTGGCCCCCTTCTTTCGGTCGTGTCCCTCCGCTCGGTCGTCTGCGGTTTCCTGGGGCTGCCCCCCGCTTTCTTTCGGTCCCCCAAGGCATTTCCGTCGCGCGTCGGCTACGTGCAGGAGTTTTTGATCTGACGATAACCCGGGGATGAATCCAACGACGGAAAAGTAAGGACCAGTTGGGGCTCAGCAGCGGCTCTGGTTTTTGGGGCTGCCCATTAGATCCAGGCCGAGGAACCCTTTCGTGGCCGAGGCTTGCCGTGGCCAAAGCAGCCCTGCATCCCCTTCCTCATCATTCGTCATGGTAGCAATGTGGCTGCGTCTCAATTCTTCACCCCAAAAAATGTGGAGCGGTTCGGTCTGACGCCACCGATGCAGAGGCGTCGTTTCCTTCTGCAGTTGCACCCACTCGTACTTTGTCACCAACTAGGTTTGCCGATGAGAGTCCTAGCTTCATGCGTAGAGTTTCTCCTCCTTGTATGTTGCCATTGCGTCGCCAAGCTATCCGAATGGCTTCCTCTGTATCCGCATGGTTTCCTCTAGTGGTTTCCTCCTATCCGCATTGTTCCCTCCTGTCCAGAATGGTTTCCTCTCTTCCGCATGGCCTCCTCCTATCTGCATGGGCCCCTCCTGTCCGCATGGCCTCCTCCGGTCAGCATGGATATCACAATGGCATCCCAACGGTCGTCCAACAACCGCCAAACTCATCTGTAGAGTAACAAAGAGTAGAGAAGAGCAGAGGGGAGCAGGGAGGCGCAGATGAGTGGAGCAGAACAGAGCAGAGCAGAGTAGAGTAGCGTAGTGTAGATACAGTCGAATCGAGTCTATTAAAGCAGAGTCGAGTAGAGTAGACTAGGGCAGGTCAAGGTAGATGAGAGCATGCTGCAGTAGAGTAGGGTACACGGTATAACTGAGTCGGGCTGAATATAGTAGATCAACAAAGAGTCATGTAGAGTACAATCGGTTGTTGGTTTAAGCCAGGGTCGAGTAGGGCAGGGTAGGGTAGAGTGGAGAAGGAGTGGACTGTAGAGTAAGTTGGATGGTAGAGTAGAGTAGGGTAGAGTGGAGTATATTTTCGTATATACTTGAATATAATAATACAGTAGAGTAGAGCAGAGGATATGGACTTGTGTCCGAGTAGAGTGGGGGTAGAGTAGGGTAGAGTAGGTGTAGAGTAACATAGAGTCTATGATATTAGGAATGTTTTGACCAGAATAGGTGGTAGGGTAGGGTAGGGTAGAGTAGGGCAGAGTAGAGTAGAGCAGAGCAGATCAGAGTAGAGTAGAGTAGAGTAGAGTAGAGCGCGAGTCGATGGTAGAGTAGAGTCGGGTATACTATGGTATAATCGAGTAGGCTGGAGTGGAGTTAAAGGAGTACGGTAGAGTAGAGTAGATGCAGTAGAGCAGAGTTGGTTAGGGACATGCTACTGAATTGGAATAGTGTGGAGTAGAGTGGGAGTAGAGTCGCGTATATAATTAACAGTCGGGTAGGATAGGGTAGAGTAGAGCATGTTAGTCTTCTGGTCTATTTGGAGTCTGCGCTGACCGAAATTTGAAGTATGTTGGCCTCTTGGGGAAGTTCTGAGTGGGCTCCGAAAGCACTTGAAGCCGTCTTGTGGACCTCTTGGGGTCTCTTGGAGGCAAGTTAGGAACGATTTTGAAATATCTTCGGTTATATTGAGCCATCTTGGGGGCCATATTGGAGCATCGTGGCCCAGCTCACTTGGAGCCACCTTGGGCCAATGACGCATCGTAGGGCAGCCCGAACAACGTATGGTGGGGAGGGTACCCCTCCTCGAAAGGAAGAGGGGTTTGGAAGTGGAAGCAATAATCTCGTTCAACCACTTACGCCCACAGGCCTGGTGAGATTCTGAAGACTCTCAGAGTGGGCGATTTTAGGGTCTGTTCCGGGCTCCCCCCACTCGCGAGGACTCGAATCACTGCAGCACAGGAACTAGAACATCTGACAGCTATCAGTTAAAAATTGGGCACTGGAAGTGTTACAGGGAACAGGGAAGCTGCAAATCCTAGCACTCGCAGCCGCTTGCCCCCGAAAGAGCCGGAGGGTTTTCTATGTTCAGATTCGTGGGGGAGAAGCTCCCCACTCCCAAGCTTGACCCCAGGATCCCTGGCACAGACCCCCTGGACTCCCTCGACGCCCTTGCTGAGGGTCCCACGGAACTTCCGGGCCTCCTGGACGTAGCCAGCGGGCCCAAAGTGGTCAGGCGGGTTACCAAACGGCCCCGCGAGAGCCCAAGAGGTCCCTGACACCCACCAGACGCCCGAAGACGGCCCAAAGAACATCCCAAGAGTTTTTCCAAACGCAAGAATCACATCTAATCTCGGTTCTTAGCTCTGTCCGAGGCCGCCCAACAGAACCCAGAAAATAGTCCCAAAGTTGAGCGGAAGGGCTCGTAGACAGTCCAAGAGAGCCCAAAGACAGCACAATATGACCCAATATGGCCCGAAGAAAGCTCCATGACGGCCCAAGATGGATGGCCCCAAGACGCCCCCGAAGCACTCCATCTCCGTTGCCCCCACAGCATTGATCAATCGGTTGTGCATTCCATAGCTTACGACATGGCTTGCGCCATAGGTTGCATCATGGTTGCTCGATCCCTGGGTTGCGCCATAGATTGCCCCATCCACGGGTTGCGCCATAGGCTACGCCAGAGGTTGTGCCATGGATGGCGCCATCCATGTGGTTCGCCATCCATTGTCCCTCAGCTTGCGCCCACGGCAGCCGAAAATGCCGAAAATAACGGGTTTGCAATTTGTTGCGCCATAAGTTGCGCCTTCGGCGGCCGAACATATGACCGCCTGCTGTTGCTTGCGCCGTCTACGGTAAAGCATCCAAATGGCTTGTTTTTGATTGCGCCACAGGTTTCGCCCATGCGGCCGAACATAGAACGGCCTGCTAATGGGTGCGACCAGCCAGTCAGTGCACCTCAAGATCAGCAAATTTGGGTTTCACCTAAAATGAGGAGGAGGAGGAGGAGGAGGAGGAGGAGGAGGAGGAGCATGGGGAGGCAATCATGGACTCGGGGCTGAACGGAATCGGGTCAGGGGAAGGGGTTTCGAGGGAGGGTGGGCTCGGGCGAACTGCACTTTGCGGCCTAATGCGTTATGACGAACTAAGCGCATCCCTACTGAGAGCTACTTTGAGACTGCCCTATAGCTGGACTTGCCATACTTGTCAGTAGTGCAAAGTCGCGCCAGCGTAGGTTTGGATTCATAATTTGTCAGACTTGCCAAAAAATGGTCCCGCTCGGCATCACTAGGACAAGCTGCTCGAAGCAGCGTAACTAGACTTTGCCCGCGAAGATCAAATGCAGAAACAGCCTAGACGGGTCAAATCAGATAGAAGCTTACGACCAGTCTGTATGCAATGCGTACGAACACTGTACAGGGCTGCGGTCCGTAGCCACTTTGGCTCAAGTGTCTCGTGCCTGAGGCCAGTTTGGGGTGCAGTCCTCGGCTCCGCGCAGAGCCAAGGTGTGCCCACGCCTCTGCCTTGTGTAAGCGTCCCGCACGCCATGTCGACGCACTGGTCGATGCAAGCGTTGTCAGAGAAGGTCTCGTCGGTGCGGAGCGTCGAGCTGGGCCCCCACGTGTGGGTGATCGCGCTCCTTCTCGCGATGGTCGCGGTCGAGGTGGTGTCCAGCTACGCCCAGCCGGCTAGGGCGCAGAGTCCTCTCACGCTCGTGGCCCTGCTCGTGCCGACGTACTGCATCGGGTTCGCCAAGACCGGCCTGCCCCCCGCCTGCCAGGGCGCGCGTTAGAGGACTGGATGCCCCGACGAGGCCCGCGCAGCTCGCGATCGCCCCCCGCCTCCCTCTTCCTCCACGCCCTCGTCCCCCCTGGCCACAAATAGCCACAATGCCGCCCTCGGTGAGTGCCTCGGCTCGCCCGCTGTGTAAAAATCCTTTGCGGGTTACCATGATTCCGACGCCGGACTGGATTGCTTGCGAGGCCGCTCAGCATGAGCTTTGAGCGGACGGGTGTTGCCCAACCTCGCAGGTCTCCCCGTCGGCTGAGGAATACAGCAGGGCATGGTGGGTGAATCAAGCCGAGTCGGAGGAGTTGATGAGGCATTGCTTGGGCGGTGGGGTGATCTCCTAGCTTACTGCTGAAAAGCTGCGCGCGCACACGGCGGCAGATGTCTTGATCGCCGAATTGGCGCAGGCCGACCCATTGTTGCCTGCCCAAGCTGCGTCTGATCCACGACACAAGACGGAGGAGGCGGTGGAGGCGGGGGAGGGATGGCGGAGGAAGATGGGGTCGGTGACAGAGACATTTTGACCAATTGCGACAGTGCCCGAGTTGCAACTGCCATGCGTATGGGCGTCTAGTAAGGTTAGAACCAGTCTGCATCACGTGCTTGGCCCAGCCTTCCTCCTGCAGCTTCAGGAGGCTGGCGCTGCTCATGCTCACAAGGTTGGCTCAGAGCTAGCCTTAGGTTATATTGGAATGCTGATCAGCCTAACGGCAGATCTTAACTTTCAAGTGAAGCAGTGCGAACATGTTGAGGCTGATGTGGAGGAGGGATAGGGGTGGGCTAGGGTGGAGGAAAAGATGGCTGACCAGGCTGTCTCAGGCTCCTCGCGCCCGCTGCGTGCTCCCCGTGGTTGTGCCTGTCAGTCTGGACGGTGCACTGCGCGAGCAGCCTTTTTTGTGCCTCTGAGGCCCAGGATTGCGTCTACTGTGCCGTTGTTCACCTCCGCCTCCATCTCCATATGAGGCATTCCAGAAAGGGCCTCGCCTTCGAGGATCGAAGGAGTTGCCATCTCCTCCTCGGCGGAAGGCGGCGGAAGGTCGGCGGAAGCCGGTGGAAGTAAAACGAGGCCGCCTCCGCCGGCGGAAGGCGGAAGGCCGGCGGACGGCCAGCGGAAGCCAGCGCCACCACAATCGGCCATATCCCTCTCATGCTGTTCCTTCGCCTCTGTCTCCCATGAGCCAGTGGTGCTCTCCAGCGGGGTCGCTGGACGGCTCCCTCTCGGAGGCGGGCAACGCAGCTCCAGCACTTGTTGACAGCGTGTGGCCCCATTGCCAGTCATGGTATGGAGCTGATCTTGAATTATCATTCTCCCTCTCCTGCTCCGTCTCCTTCGCGGCGAGAGGGCTCGCGCGCTGGTGCCGACGTGACGGCAGCGGTCTCGCCTGGAGGATGTGCCCGGCGTGCCACAGCTGCCTAGGACTCCTATCCAGAACCCTGGGGGCATGCCCCCATATTTCGATTGAGGCGGCGATGGTGCGGCCCTCAGCGGTGCACCTGCTCCTCCTACCTCCTCCTCCTCCTGCTCCGTCTCCTCCTCCTCCTCCTCCTCCTCCTCATCCTTCTCCTTTTCCTCCTCCTCCTCCTCAGCCTCCTCCTCCTCCTCCTCCTCCTCCTCCTCCTCCTCCTCCTCCTCCCTCTCCCTCTCATGCCCTATCCCGTGCCCGTCCATGCTAGCTGTCCAGGCTGCACGTTTCGTCGGCACGGTTTGATGCTCAGGCTGTTCAGGAACAGCCGCCAGGCCCGCTCGGCACGCGCCTTGATCCAGAAGGAGATTACCGTATTACCGTATTACCCGACCAACACGGCGGCCATTCCGCGCTCGGCTAAATACAGAGCGAGGAGGAGGGACGGAGGGAGGAGCATGATAGTTCTCCGACGAGGGGGCGGCGCCGAGGGACGCCCGAGGAGATCCTGGCAGGGCGCCGGAACGCACGTGCGCCTGAGCGCGACGCGTGGACGGCCTCGAGTTGTTCGCGGCAGGTGATGTGTAAGTGCGGGCGATGCGCATTGTCCTCCTCCTCCTCCTCCTCCTCCTCCTCCTCCTCCGCATCATCCTTCTCCACCCTTCTCCTCCCCCTTGCCCTCACCCTCCTCCTTCCCCCGCTGCTGATGCTGCGTAGCCTCCAGGCGTTCACACCTGGTTTGGCGCGAGGGTTGCTTGTTTTGCACAGTTGGCTGCGCAGCTTACTCGAATTGTCCATCAGCCTGAAGTATGAGACCCAAACGGCGAACCTGCGGGGGCAACACGACGTGACCCCGGGGAGAACATTGAAGTGTGAGACTCAAACGGTTACCTGCGCGGGCAACATGACGTGACCCCGTGGAGACGGGAGCAACAACGGCGAAGTCGATGATTAAACGGTGATCTTCCGATTCGCCGCCCAGGGTCCCAGCGATGGGATCGGGCGGCGAAGTTCCAAAGTTCAAGCTCGACCATCACCTTTCGAACCCAACTGGTCGCCACGAACGTCATGAGTCGGACGGGTGCGCGCACTAAGGATTCAGAATCTTACGACTGTTCCGCCGGATTTCCCGAGAGGCTCCACCGCAGCCCAAAGAGTGGGGCACATGGTCCATATTTCAGGCTTGCTGTATGGGTTCACGCTGTAGGCCATCGAGCTAGTGCTTAGTATACGTTGCATGCTCCTCCCACGTCCCATTCTGCCTTCTCTTCCTGCCAGTTGTCCCTCATGCCCTCCAGGCCCTCCTGCCCTCCTCGTCTCCACAGATAGCGCGCACGCGAGCGCTTGGCCCGTGCCGCGGAGTGGACGCGGACGTGCGCTCACCCAGCGCTCTGGTCGCCTCTGTGACGGCACGGCCGCCGACGGGGGCCCCAGTCGGCCGCGGGCTCTCTGGAAGGGCGTCGCCTGCCAGGGCCGCTCACGGGGACCCGGCAGGCCGCGGAGGCCAGTGCGTTGCAAGGGGAAAGGGTGAGGAGGAGGAGGAGGAGGAGGAGGAGGAGGAGGAGGAGGAGGAGGAGGAGGAGGAGGAGGACGACAAGCGGGCGCCAAGTCGCCAGTAGGGCATGCAGCCTCTTTTCCTGGAGCTGCCCGAGTGCGGAAGGCGCGAGTGCGACGACAGGCGAGAACAACAAACACACACATGCACATACACATACACATGCACATACACATACACATACACATACACATACGCATGCACATGACTATACACATACCCATACACATACACAAGCACAATCACAATCACCATCACATACACATACGTACACATCCACATCCACATCCACATCCACATCGACATCCACATCCACATCCACATCCATATCCATATCCACATCCACATACACATACACATACACATACACATACACATACACATACACATACACAACCACCCAGCTTCTCCCGGGGCGCGCGCCGACCAGGTTCCCCAGGCGGATCTGGATGTGTCGAGGACGTTCCGAGAATCTTCAGAATTCATCTCTCCACTACAGCTGGCACGAGGGTTAAGAGCAACTCTAGCTTTGGAGGTGTATCCTTATGTTCTTCGCGTCTGGGTTTTTCCACCATGCGCGGCGGTGACCCTGGCGCTGGCGTTCAAGGACGGACACCGTCGGTGGCCCGGGGTCGGCTGGCATCAAACGACCTGCGCCACCGGAAGGCCGCGATCGGTCAAGGTTGAACGGCCCACGCGGTGTCGTAAGCCTCCGCACGGGCCGTCACGACACGGACCCGCCGTAGGCGGCCTCTCGATCCGCAACGGCTTTGGAGACCTGCTAGGCACCTAACGAAGTCGAGTACCGATGGGAGGTGTGCCCCTGCAAGTCTCGTCCCAACAAGCACGATGCAGCCGGGTGGCTTTCGACAATAGGTCATCGCTGGGCGGCCCGTTCAAAACTGAGATGCGCATTTGGGCACTCTCTGTTTGAAGGGCGCCCTCTCAAGTTGAAGGGCGCGCTGGGCTCTTGGCCGAGCGGCACCCCGCTCATGCACCTTGGCGCGCTGGCTTAAGCTTTGGATGTGGGGGGGCACGTCCCTGCTGCGTGGCTCCACTTGTACCTAGTTAGTAATGACGAGACTTGTTGAATGTACATGTCTAAGTATGTATGTCATCATCGCTTGCATCATCGTGCGTATCCACTGTACCACCGCCGCCATTACTGCCACAGTCGCGCCGCGGTTCTCGCAATCAACACTGGCCCGTTTGGTTCGAGTTCTGGCCGCTGCGGTGCGCCGCGCCCCCCTGCCTGGCGTAAGCGGGCGCGCGGCGAAGTGGGCCCGATGGCCGCGTTGGACGCGGCGGCGAGGCCCAAGAAGAAGAAGGTCAAGCGGCGGCCTGTGGCCGCAGACGCTGGCGACTCCGTGGCCGCTCCCGGCACTGGGGCCGAGGAACCCGCCAAGGAACCCGAGGAGCGAGAGCAGGAGCAGAGGTGCCAGAAGAAGAAGAGGCGACGGCAGGACGGCGCTGCGCCGTCTAGCGCCGCCCCAGCCCCCGCCAGGGACGCTGAGCTCGGTGGCGCCCCGCCCATCGCTGGCGCGGGGGCGGCGCCCGTCGGTCAGGACGCCGCCAGGCCAGCAGACACGGGTGCGCCGAAGACCTTCGCAGACCTGGGCGTGTGCGAGGAGCTGTGCCGTGCCTGCGAGCTCTTGAAGTGGCATACGCCCACCCCCATACAGGTGGAGTCTATCCCTTGGGCCCTGCAGGGGCGGGACGTGATCGGCCTCGCCGAGACGGGCAGTGGCAAGACGGGCGCCTTCGCGTTGCCCATCGTTCAGCGCCTCCTGGACACCCCGCAGCGCTTCTTTGCCGTTGTGATGGCGCCCACGCGAGAGCTCTGCGTGCAGATCGGCGAGCAGTTCGAGGCCATCGGCAGCGGCATCAAGCTCCAGACAGCCGTGGTCGTGGGCGGTCTGGACATGGTCACGCAGGCCATGGCGCTGGCGAAGCGGCCTCACGTGGTCGTCGCGTCGCCAGGGCGGCTGGTAGACCACTTGGAGAACACGAAGGGATTCCACTTGAAGACCGTCAAATACGTCGTGATGGACGAGGCGGACCGTCTCCTGTCGATGGACTTCGACGAGGCCCTGGACAAGATTCTGGAGGTCATCCCGCGCGAGCGGAACACGTTCCTCTTCTCCGCCACGATGACGTCCAAGGTGTCCAAGCTCCAGCGGGCCTCCCTGAGGCGGCCGGTCAAGGTGGAGGTGAGCACCAAGCACGACACTGCAAAAGGCCTCGTGCAGAACTACATTTTCCTCCCGTACAAATTCAAGCAGACGTACTTCGCGGCCCTCATCGCTCACTTCCAGCATTACGCCGTGATGGTCTTCACGGACACGTGCCTTGGTGCGCAGAGGCTGGCCATTTTTCTGAGGCACCTCGGCTGGAACTCGATAGCGCTGCACGGGCAGATGTCGCAGGCGCAGCGCTTGGGCGCCCTGAGCGGCTTCAAGGCAAGGGAGAGCCGGATCCTTGTCGCGACGGACGTCGCCTCGCGGGGTCTGGACGTGCCATCCGTGGACCTGGTGGTGAACTTCGACATACCGAAGAACTCCAAGGACTACGTCCACAGGGTGGGCCGCACGGCCAGGGCAGGCAGGTCGGGGCGAGCAGTGACATTGGTGACTCAGTACGACATCGAGCTGTTCAAGAGGTTGGCGTCATTCCGCCGACCCTTCGAAGGGTAGGTGGGGCGAATGTGACCTTGGCTGCACGGGTTGCCCTGGCAGTGTCAAGCGAAGTGCGACGAAAACCGAGGCGATGCCCAGGGGGGGCAGGGAGGCAATGGGGGAGGAGGAGAGTGGGCATGACGTTTATGAGTCCTTCTGACTATTTCCTCAGTGTTGGGCGGGCCCTCTCTTGGGGCCTCTTGGGTGTTTCCTTTCGGGTATGCTGTGGTATCTTCTTTTCTCCTCGAGAGCCCCAAAAAGCAGCAGGATCATGTGGAGGCGAAGGAGGCATATGGGAGACGAGGAGGCGGATGAGGATGAAGGGGAGGCGGTGGATGATGAGGCTGAGGACCGCCTTTGGAGGGGTAAAGGTGGTGAGGGGCGGTGAGAGCACGAGCTTCGGCAGGCCGACATCGTTATTCGGGCTTGGTGCTGTCAACAGCGGTTCACCTCCTGGACCATCTCGGCGGCTTCTGGAAGAGATGAGATGAGGTTTTAGCTATCATTGATTAGCTTCATTGCTTGATGCAAATAGCTGTGTGGGCTCCCTCGCGAGACCTCTGAGTTATTCTTGAGACCTCTTGGGCGTGTTGGAGTCCTCGTGGAGCTGATTTTGAAGGCATCTTGGGCACATTGGAGGCGTCGGAGTGTGGGTGCGCTGAGGATCTCGGAGGCCCCCTCCCCGCTCCCACCTCCAACGGGAAATATGGGGGATGGAGGCAGTCAAACACCTAACACGCCGTTTCATCCCCAGCATGCGGGGGTCGGCTGATTCCAGAGGATCGAGCACTTCTTGGAGAAGAAGCTCGAGGAGCTTAAGGAGTTTACAGAAGACTCTGTAAAGGCCAACCACGAGCGCGTCTTGGAGGCGATGCGGAGCACGGAGCTAGAACTCCGGGAGAAGGACGAAGGCATGGCCGGCAAAGCTGTCAACAGAAAGATCAAGCAGTTGCAGTCCAAAGGCGGGAAGAAGAAGATGCAGAAGGGGCGATGATATCGATCATGAGCGGAGCAGGTGCCCCTTCTCATTCGACGCGCTCTCGCACCTAGCTTTCCAGTCGCCCCCGCGGTGGCACCGTCCTGCCACAGTGGCAAGAGACAGTCGTTGTGCAACTGGAAGCGTGGCGAAGCCGAAGGCTCCACACGCAACAGCACACGAATCTCTCCACGATCACCGTTGTCATCGCCATCGTCGCCATCATCAACGCCGTTGCCATTTCCATCGTTACTGTAGGCGCCGTAGTTATCGTCAAGCATGGTGCGATTCTTCTGGCTGCAGCTGGCCGAGGCCTCAGCCGACGTGGGTAAGCACTCGGGTGGAGCTGGCCGCGCTGCGAGCGGCGGACACTGGCGAGCTGGCCGTACATGGCTCCTGCAGCCCGTGCTCGCCGTGCTCGCCGCCAGCCGCCACTGGCGGCGGCCAGGCGCCACTGGGCCTCACGCGAGGCCGCGGTGCCTGCGGCGTGCATCGCGGAGGTCGGTGCGACCTGGGGAAGCGTCGCAGCGCAAGGACCGTAGGCGGATGTAGGCGGCTGGGGGGGGGGAGCCGAGGGAGCGCTCCGCTCCGCTGCGGGCTTTTCCGCGGAGCGCGCAGCGCAGACCCGAGAGGGGGCGTCGTGCCGAAAGTGATACAGGAAGGCTCAATGTGCGCGTGCAGCGCTGCTGAGGCCACCACTGTGCACTCCTCGCTGGACGCACGCGCGGGCGGAGCTGTGGCGGCCGGTGCCACGTTGGGCTCCGAGTGGCAGCCAAGACCGACGGACCAGGGAGTGACCGCTGTGGTGACCAGCGCGGTGGATGGCGAGTCTTCTGAGGCTCGTAGCGACATGGAGCGTGCGGGGCTCAATGCCGAGGCGGCAGTCCTCGTGCCATTCGAGCACGTCGGCGCCGAGCGGTGCGTGTCCGCCACCGAGGGGGCACGAAGCCACAAGCCTTCAAGCAGTGGAGGAATGCGCTTGGTGTGCCCTGACGGCCGCGGCCGAAGTGCCACGCTGACGAGGCGTCAGGCACTGGACGCGGCATCCGAGACGTGGGTCCCTTCATTGGGGGGTCGCTCGGGGTACAGACAAGAGGCAGAAATATAAGGACCACTTCGGGCTCAGGAGGGGCTCTGGTTTTCGGGCCGTTCCTTAGGTTAAGATCGGGGGACCTACCCGTGACCGAGGCTCGCCGTGGCCAGATAAGCCTCTTCGTTTCTTTCTCAGCGTCCGTTGTGAAAGCGCCCCCTCGTGGGCGTATGAGACCCGCCTCGATGATCGACGGCAGCCCCTGACGAGCGCTCGTACAACGGGTGCACGCTCTCGGCATCCCTGCCAGGACTCGGCGCCTACCGACAGCCTGCTTTGACTGTCCCAGCTTGGCACAGCAGCTCGCCCTCCGCCCCCAGCATCGCAGTTTGCACCTGGAGCGTCGGTATCCTGGAGAGTCGTTCGGGTAACCACAGCATGCACCCTTGCAGGACAGTGCCCCTCCGCATCAGTTTGCTTTCCCAGCGCGTCGGCCCTTTCTGCAGCTGCAGACGCCATGGGGCACATGAGAAGAAACACAAGGTTGCACGACGCGGAATCGTTCTGGACATGTTTTCGTCCTGGAGGTTTTGGTTCTGGAGTTGTTTCGCCCTTGGGGCCTGGGGGCTTTTCTCTCTGGAGTTCTGAAGCTGGCCCGGGCGGCCCCCAAGAGGGGCCAGGGGAAACATTTCCAGGTCAGCGCTTCCGAAAAGAACGGTTCCGAGGGACATGATCCCGAGAGCAAGAGGAGGAAGAGGACGGAGGACAGGGAGAGGAGGAGGGGAGGACAGAAGCAATGCGGATATAGGTTGGACGCCTTTCGGCAATCTGCCGCCTGTCGAGGGACCTCTGCGGAGCTTTTTGGGGCCATGAGCCTCGGGCGGCTCGTGCCAGCTGGGCCCTCGGCCTTTCGGGGCCCAAGAGAAGTTCTGAGGGGCCTCTGCAGAAATCTCCTGGTTGATTAAATCTGGAACGCCGTGCTATTCTTGTCACCCTTATTCCCCGAGACAACCAAAAAGGGCCAGGCGGCAACAAAGGCTCCGAAGACGGCTCAATAATCATCCAAGACGACCCCCGCGGGGACCATTCTCCACCTCCTCATTTTCTTCTCCTCCTCCCCCTCCTCCTTTTCCCCCTCCTATTTCTCGTTTTCCTCCTCTTCTTCCTCCCCCTCTTGCCCCCTCTCCTGCTTTTCTTCTTCCTCCTGCGCCTGTTTTTTCTCCTCCTCCTCCTCCTCCTCTGTTCGTTTTCTTTTATTGTCGCTTACGTTCGTTAGCTACAGAATATACATGAAGATGGTATAACCCTTTGAAACGTCATGAAAAGTAATGTAAAGTTATGGAAAGTTATTAAAATACAGAACCAGGTATGAAACGTTACGGGAAGTTAGATCGAGTTAACAAGTGCTTGTAACAGAGCTAGCGCGCAGTTGCGTAAGTCGTTCATACGTCAACGCTGCAAGTGGGCGCTAACTCTGTTATAGGCGCACAACCAGAAAAAGAGTGGAAGTGGAGCGGGGCCTCGAGGGCCGGAGCGGCGCGCCTGGGGCGAGGGCGTTGCGGCGCAGCAGCCAGGAGTCGCAGTCCCCGGCGCCGTCGGAGCTGATTGCGACGCCGAACGGCGACGCGTGGGCCAAGGCCGGGGAGGGCCTCCTGTGGTCGACGGTTGACGGGCGCGGGCTCAGGCCGCGCGTGGCCCCAGTCCAGGAGACGAGGTTCCTTTCGAAGGCGGCGCAGCAGACGGCCGCGAGTTGGATCTCGACCTTCGGCGCCAAGCCGGCGAGCGGCCCCGTGGCCCGCACGGGCGAAGGCAAGAATGCAGCGTCGGCGGGCGCGGCCATCCTCGCGGACAACTCGCTCGGCTGCGCGCGGCTGGCGACGAGTTCAGGCTGTGATGCAGCCCGCATGCGCGCAGGATTGGGCTCAACGGCATCCAGGTTTTGCGCGCCCCCGCCCACCTCGCGCGCTCGCCGGGCGTGCGCGGCGCCAATTTGGAGCTCTTGGAGGAGCTGCAGAGATGGCGGCTGGAGCAGCCGGGGCCGTTCATCATCGGCGGGGGCTGGAATGTCGCGCCCAGGGCCCTGGCGAAGAGCGGCTGGATACGGGGTCTGGACGGCGCGGCACTGGCGCCCCAGCTGCCGACGTGCCAGGGTGAGGTCTATGACTTTCTCGTGGCCTCGGCAGTGCTGGCCAGCTGCGGCCACGAGGCAACCGCGCCCCCCGCCTCGCCTCCGCCGGCGCGCAGCATTGCGGCGCTGAAGCTCATGGGGCTTGCGCCGAGGCGGCGCGTTCAAGTGGCAGGAATGCTGCTTGCGTTCCTCTTGGATGCTCAGTTGAATGATGATAGCGTCGCGGCAGGCGGCGACCTCGCGGACCGGCTGGTCTGGCAGGAGGCGCCGAGCTGCTCCATGGCCTCGGTGGAGGACGCCGTGAAGGAGTGGTTCGCCAAGGCGGAGGTGGTGCTTCGCGTCTGGCGGGGCTTCCGCGGGCGAGCAGCTGCTGGCCATTATGGGCGCGTTCGCGGCTGCGTTCTGGCGCAGGCGCCATTGGCCTCGGCGGTTTCTGCGCACCTGCGGCGCCGCGCACCGGGCCCGGTTGCGAGCAGGCGGCCCGCGCGGCGGCGCTGCGGCCCCGCCTGGAGGAGGCTTTCGCGGAGCTCGAGCAGCAGGAACAGGGCCACTTCACCCGCGCCCAGGCGCGCCCCTTGGCGGGCGCTGTGCTGGGGCGTGAGCCCGAGGGCGCATGGTTCCTGGATGCGCTGGAGGCTGCGCTGACACTCCGGCGCCAGGGGGGTGCTCGGCGACGCGGCCAAGAGTGGGAAGTCTTCGTCGAGGGTGCTATTTGCTGGCGGGGCCCAGGCAGCGAATCAGGCGATCGAGGCTCAGCCTGCCGAAAGGGTCGCTATCCTCGACGATGCCGCTGCCGAGGAGGCGGCAGAGCCGCCGGGCGGTCAGGAGGCGATTGATTGTTTGCCGCGAGACTGGCTGCCGCTTTGGGTCGATGGCGACACGCGCGGAGAAATCATGGAAGTCATAGACTCCTTCGCCAAAGGCGTTGACTTCAGATGGGACGGCGCGCATCCGAGACCAATCCGCGAGCTGGGGGGGCCCTTCGCCGACCGCGTGGCGGCCGCCCTCTCTGCCCGGGGGCGGGGCCCGCTCGTTTCGGAGAGGCTGCCGCGCCTCGCGGAGTTCATTGCGAAGGCGGACGGTGGGAAGCGGCCCGTAGGCCCGCCGGTGACGTTTGCCGCGTATGGCCCCGAATCTGGCGGCGATGCTGCAAGGGGCGGGAGGCGGCGCCGGGCGGCCCAATGATTCGGGACAAAGACGCCGCAATTGGCTGCGACCGCGCGGCCTGGCCGCACAATGCATTGGCGCGGAATGCGCGGGGCCGGGGCATGGGCGCAGGCGGCGTCTACTTATGCGGGCATCTCCAAGTTCCACGAGGGGGCCGGCCACGGTCAGCTGGCGCACGCGGCGCGCTCGGTCGATTTCGACGTCGGCCTTCTGCGCGCGCTGCGTTGCCTCTACCGCGGGCCGACGCGCCCGAGGGGGGGTGCTGTCGGCGGCAGCCTGTTGAGCACCGACGGGGCAATCATTGCGGGCTGCAGCTGCGCGACAGCGTTGGCCAAGGTGGGGCTGGTTGCCACGCTCAGCAGCGCGGCGGCGGCCTGCCCGATTGGCAGGGTCTTCAACGTCATCGACGACATTTCATTGCGCACCGTCGGCGAGGTGGCCATGGCAGGCCGCCAGTTGGTCTAGGGGGCGAAGGCCTTGGTCCAGGGGCTGTAGGCTGCCAGGCTGTCCATCAACTGGAAGAAGACGGTTGCGCTGGCTGCGCTTGCGTTGAAGACCGAGCTGATTGGCCACCCCGACTGGCCGCTGGCAGACTGCGCCTTCGAGCGAGCCGACAGGGGCGTCGGGGGCGACGCCGCTGCCGGCTCGTGCCGCAGCGCGGCCGCGCGGCTGGCGCGCGCGGCGGCGGCGCTGGAGCAGTTTGCGAAAGGTCGCCGCGTCTTCCGCGTAGGCTTGCGTCTCGCCCGAATGCAGCGGGCGGGCCCAGCGGCCGAGGCCATCTGGGGGGCGGCCATCACGGGGGCCCCTGGTGCCAGGCTGTGCACGCAGCGTTCAGCGGCGGAGTCGGTGCCAACCAGGGCGTTGCTGGAGTTCACCAGCCTGCTCTCAGGC